ACGTTACTCAGAGACCTGCCTGACCCCATCCATCCATAAATTCCAACACCCAATCTCCACCACCTCCTGCGGGAGCGAGCTCCTCACTCGAGGGACCCATCTGAGAGAGACACAAAGACGATCTCTGCTCAATACTCCTTTGAATAGTTGGAGCTCTTAATCTTAAAGTATGTCCACTCGCTTTAACCTGCTCCTTGGGTGCCCACCGGACCCGCTCCTCTCGAGATCTAACCAGTTCAGTCAGTGCTGGCTTGTGCCAAACCTCTCCTTGGAGATTAACTCTTTGCAAACAGGGATCCGGGGAATCTGCAACACAATTTATTTTCAGGAACAGGCAGCAGGAGTAGGAGGCCAGGTCGTCCTGCTCAGCGCAAGATCGAAAGCTTCGACCAAAACGCGCCTTCATCGCCTTTAATTCATCCTGATTAAGTCAACACTTAGTCTTCATAACTCGAGGGGATACTATCTCTGTGTTGAGTCTGCATGCTTTCTGAATATTTTAACCTGGAAGCCCCAACACCCCGCCTCAACAGGACCTAGACCTCCTGGAGGTGTGCATGACACACAACTGACTCGGGATGGAGTCAGGACGAGGTTGGGGGGGTGTTGGGGAAGGGTCCATCGCTGCATACTCACATGCCCCGAGATGCAGGTGTTGCTATGGAGCCCACGGTCCCTAGGGTTCTGTGGGTAGTCGCTGGGGTCAGGGTAGATGAGAACACCAGTTGCTCCATACTGCTCAGCACTGGCTACCTGTGAAACACCAACAAATCAGGTCAACCTTACAAAAACAGCCAGAATGGCTCGCAGGGTTAGGAACAGAGTCAGGATCCCTCTACACGGTTCCCCCACTCACCCCATCAAACATTCCCCAGGACAGGGGCAGCATGGGATTAGATACAGAGTAGAGCTCCCTCTACACTGTTCCCCCCCCCATTAAACACTCCCCAGGACAGGGACAGCATGGGGTTAGATACAGAGTAAAGCTCCCTCTACACTGTCCCCCCATCAAACACTCCCCAGGACAGGAACAGCACGGGGTTAGATACTGAGCATATATACACACACGTTGCCTATGGCCTCTAACAACCAGGTGACCATCCCAGTCCTGAGGAAGAGGGGTTATTTAGTCAACGTGCCCCCTTGGGCCAGTGAGGGACTGGAGCCACTTGGACAGTGCAGGGGCTTGAACAGATGAACCCAAGCCTCGGTCCTACACCAGGCTTCGTCACTGTTCCCGTCTTTCAACAACGGGATCCAGGAAAAAAAATGTAGACCATCACCTTGAGAAATCCACAAAGGAATACCATGCACGTTACCGAGCATAAGGAGCAGGAGCTGAGACAGGCCAATCCGCCCATCATTTACCTGCTCCCCCATCCAGTGTGATCGACGCCTCCTTTCCCTGCCCACTCCCCATATCCATTGATTTTATCGGAGGGATATGTATCGAAGCCTTAAATAAGTAGAATTGGACCAACCTTCTCAGCGAGGCTAATACGACCTGCACGCAAGATGACAATGTTGCCTTGGACAGCCACGTTGAGATCTCCCAACCGCTCAAAGTCCTCGTCTCTCCCATAGTGAGCATACACCAAGCCCCCCTGCAAAATCACAAAAATCAGGACACTGTTCTCTGACCATCTCTGAACATCTCAAAGTATCACAGGGTTAGGGAGAGTGTGGGGCTCTCTCCTCTTCTAATTGGATAGTAAAACTCCCTCTACACCATTCCCATCAAACGCACCCAGGGCAGGGACAGCATGCAGCCAGGTACAAACTAAAGCTCCCTCTACCCTTTTAAACTGAAAGTAGAGCCTCCCTCTACACTGTATCAAACACTCCCAGGACAGGGACAGCATGGGGTTAGATACAGAGTAAAGCTCCCTCTACGCTGACCCCCATCAAACACTCCCAGGACAGGGATAGTAGGAACTGCAGATGCTGGAGAATCCGAGACAACAAGGTGCAGGGCTGGATGAACACAGCAGGCCAAGCAGCATCATAG